ACTTATTTATTTAGCTTAACAAATTGACCATTTTATTCATTTACACCCTTAAATTTGTTAAATATAAAAATTGATAAATTCTAGGAATTGTTTAAACCGTAAAATGAAGGCCAGATTTAAGTTGTCTATTTTCAAAATTTACATGGACTTGAGAAGTATTTATACCTGAAAAACAGGAGGAATCAAGTTTAAAAACTTGGAGGGCAAAGCCTATGTATACAGTTTCATCTTGAGCAATAATATATAATTTTATAGGGTAAATTACGTATTTAATACCTAAACTATCCATTTTGGTCTATTTTAGTACCTAAACTTTCAAGTTTTTCATAATTATATCTAAAGTTTAGTTTTGTTTCATTTTAGTACCTCTGTTCAAAATTTAATGTTAAGTTTTGAAAAAAATGAAAGTTTAGGAACTAAAACGGGTCAAAATTGATAGTTTAGGTACTCAACGTGTTGAGTTTTTATCGGTGAGATACTAAAATGAAACAAAAACTAAAAGTAGGAATGATATAGAAAAAAATTGAAAGTTTAGGTACTAAAACGGACCAAGACTGATAATTTAGTTACTAAATGCATAGTTTAGCCAATTCTATGTATCTTTAATGAATCAAATAATACATCATCTTAAAATACTATTTGGCCCCATGACAGGCCTTAACAGGCGTCGGATTCCGGAGCACGCATTGGCGTGGTTGAAATTGATATTATCACTTCTGTTCACGGTGATACTAAGGGCGACGACGATCGTGCTCCGGTGGTCATTATCTATAGTCCCGAACGCATGTCGTCGTTGCGGTGGGAAATTGGCTTGTTGTTGCATCCGGCGTTGGATTCGGAAGGTCGTGATGCCGTGGTTGAAATGGATGATATCGCATCTGTTCACGGTGTTACGGAGGATGACAAAGAATATGCTCCGGTGGTCTTTCTTTAAAGTCTCGAACGCTGTTTTTCACGGCAGTGGGAAAATATGTGTTGTTCATGTTTATGGTGGTGGTGCGGCCGATGCGACTGGCCAATGAACAAAATGCCTTTTGATAAGCTTTTAGAAAGGTATGTTCATGGAGTTTGTCCATGGCGATCTACGTTGTGTCTCGTTGAATTGAATGATTACTGTGTAGTTAGTCTGTGTTTTCCTTTTGTACCCTAAAACGATGTTCTAAACGGCAGCAAAACAGCCTATTCTATCAAATATGGCTTTATATTTATAAAAGTAATTAAAATTTTATATTTTGATCCTTTCCTCCTTGTATGTTTCTTGCTCTACCGTTAAATAATTTGGTTAAGATAAAAACTTCCAAAAGCACCATACGATATAAGTTTTGGTTGGGGGAATGTGAGATTTCCATGGGAATAGAATCCACATTCCCTCGTTTGGTTGGCCCGGAATGTCATTCCCGGTAATCTTACATTATTAATATTAGATTTTTTGGGGTATATTACCGGAAATGTCATTACCTCCCTTTCCTTCGGTACTGTTGGATTACCGACGTTTTGGACTAAAATGCCCTTATAAATTTCTTTAAAAAATATTATTATTCTGTCATTAAATAATAAAAATTCTACAAATGTTAAATTACAAATTTATTCTTAAACTATTTTAGATTTAAAAAAAATCTATAATTAAAATTTTATATGAAGTTCAGGGGTTAAAATAAAATTTATCCTTTCATTAAACCTTTTTATATTTGCAATTTTGTAAAAAAATTATATAAATTTTATGAATTTAAATTTTTTAAAGAAAATATATAAATATTTTTCAACTTGTTAAAAAAACAAATATATAATAAGGATAATTTGGTTAAATATACATTTTAATAATCTTTTATTCTTTTAACCAAACACGGTAATCTTACATTCCTGCTAAACCAATCAAACACAAAATACAACATTTTCAGTAATCCTATTCCCTGATAATCTTTTATTCCTACTGGTAATCTTACATTCCGTAAATTAAACGTACCCTAAGTGATTAAAGAATAATTATATTCTCAAATGATTGACAACTTTTCGAGAAAATAATAACTTATATTCATTCTAGATTAATAAAAAAAATTACTAATAAATGGAATTCTTCTGTCCCATGGGTGCCTTTTGGCGTCCCTCCAATAATTTATTGACATATGGATCAGTCTATTAATTCCCTTTAAAATATTTTCTTACTGTTAATTCACCAACTCACGTTAATTGACAATTAAAATTATATATATATATATATATGCCCAGCAAAACGACGCCGTTTTGGCCATACTCACCTGTGTTTCCATAGTTTTAGGTTTTGGCCATTCGACCTTTGTATCATTCAATTTCAGTCATGAAAGATCACGGGTTATTTCTGATTTCAACGCTTAAATGTTTCAAGACTTGCATTAGTCATTATTTCTTCATGGTTTAATTTCTGATTTTGTGGCAAATTTAAATGTGATATAATTTAGTCTTGTAGTTGGCTATGCGTGATAAAATGCAATATTTATTCTTTAAATCGTTCCACATTTATTTTAACCCCCATTTATATTAGTACTATAAGGAAAATTTTGGTGGTCAAATACTTGATTTGGGCCTGATAATTTAAGATATGTTCATTTTAGTCCATTGGCTCAAATTACATTCAAAGCTGCCATATTTTTGCCATTAACCCTCCACATTTTGTTTCAGCCATTACCCATGATTAATCATTAAATGAAATATTTAAACAAAATGTTTCAATAGCACCTTATATGTTTCCGTTATTGTATTTTAATCCCTTAAATTATTTTAACCCCTAAATTTCATATAAAATTCTAATTATGATTTTTTTTGTAAATCTAAAATAATTTAAGAATAAATTTACAATTTAACCTTCGTAGAATTTTTTTTATTCAACGACAGAAGAAGGATATTTTTGGGGGGAAATTTAAGGACATTTTAGTCCAAAACGCCGGAAATGTAACAATATCTAAGGCAAGGGGGAATCACATTCCTGGTAATAAGCCCACAAAACACCACTGTTGGGAATAAAGGATTACCGGGGTTGGGAATGTTTGCAATCTAAACAGAGGAATGACATTCCATTCCCCCGATAATCCAAGATTACCTGAACCAAACGCCCCTTATGGCATGTTTACATAATAAAGTATCATGGATGGGATAAAATATAAAGAAAAAGGGACAAAAGGTTTCTAAGGGTGGTGTGGAACCACATCTATGTTGTAGTTTAAAGAGGTGCCGCTTTTATCCTCCTAAAGGCTAATTATCCAAAATATAAAGCCAAATTTGAGGGCCATGGCTTTGATTGCTTAAAGGGATGGTATTAATTACATTGTGTCGATTTCTACCATGTATTCTTGTCACAATTGTACTATCATTCCCTCCTCTTTTTCTCACTAAAAGATAATCTCTAAAATCAACTTTGCTAAACTTATCTAGGCAAGGTATGTAAAATTATATTATAATTAAATTTTAGGGTAAACTATGCATTTAGCACCTAAATTAACTTTTAATTTTTTTTCAAATCATGCCAACGTTTAGTTTTCATTTTATTTTAGTAACCCTTTGTTATAAACTTAATGCATTTTTTTACCTAAATTATCAATTGTGGTCTGTTTTAGTACTTAAACTTTCAAAAAAAATTCAAAACTTAACGTTAAATTTTGAACGGAATAATAAAATAAAACAAAAACTAAACTTTAGGTATGATTTTGAAAAAAGTAAAGTTTAAATACTAAAACAGATCAATACTGATAGTTTAAGTACTAAACACATGATTTACCCTAAAATTTAATTAGATTGACTTTGTTATAGATGCAATTATTTTATAAATAACCCTTATTAATTAGTTGATTAGAAAACATTATTTATTAGTTTCTTATACGAATAAGATTTATTTATCATATTAACTTAAAAAAATATTTGTCATTTTAAAACGAACTGAGCAAGAGCGTAGCCGACGGGAATCGTTCTTGGCCCCTTTATAAATGGGATAATTACAGTTTTGGTCCCCGCCCATCATTCACTATTCAATTTAAGTTTTTTAATGAGAATTCTTAACATTTTCGATTATTTATACTTTTATTTCCCCCTCGACACCAAACTCTTAAGTGCGCTCCTAAAGTTGAGCCCCAAAATTAATTCGATTCTAAATCGTTGAATTTCTAATTTTATAATTGTAAGTCATGGCCATAATTATATGATTGTATTTCAAATATAACAAAGTATAAATAAATGACTTTAAAGAAGCAAAAAAATATTTATTAACATTATCAATAATTTAATTTTAAAAAAAATAATATTTTTTTTCGAGTCAAATATCAGGTAACTCGCTTCACTTCGACTCATTACGAGCTCAAATCAAATTCATTTGATTCTAATATTGACCATCAAATTCATTTGATCAAATCAAACTCGAGTAACTAATGAATATGATATGTCTCGTCCCATTTACCGTCTTAGATCACATATGGGCCTCGGCAAATCTTGAATGTTAAAGTGGTTCGTGTGTGTTTATGGGTATGGGTTTCATCTTTCATGGACCATAGAAATCTTCAAGGACACTAGATGAATAAACAATCATCGTACCCCTTTGTATATAGATAATCATTAAATAAAGATGCCAGATGAATTTAAATTGAAGTTTTAACAGTCATTTTACACGATTAACTGTCGCCATTTATTACAGAACCAAACACATGTCAGCAATTGTATTCGGAAAGTCCCACACACCAAGAACCTCTGCATGAACAGCTGCTGTCCACAACACTAAACACACGACTCCACGTGGAATGACCCTTATAGCCCTGGCCACGTGTGGTGACCGGTCCACAACTGGTTCTGGCTGTCAACTTATTGCGGCCATCTAACAGTGATGTCGAGCATCAAAATAACAAAACAAAATTCGATGATTCCCATGGCCCTTAAATTAATTAATCATCAAAGTACTTTAGTTTTATATATATGGACAACCAGGAACATTTCTTTTAAACCAAACAAGAAAAGAAACACAAGTTAATAAATTTAGACATTCTATTATTATTATGATGAGGTGAAAACTAAAGTTGATGTCTTTGATTTTATAGCCGCCAAAATTGCTTCTATCTGTTGATGAACCGAATCACAGAGGGGGATTAGTTTGTTGGTGGAGCTAAACCGAGAGTCAAGTCCAAGCCGATATCGGTACTTTCCTCGGTTTGGTTTGCGAACGTCGGAAGAAGGCCGTTTTTGGTCCGGTTCACCAGCGAACCCTCCACGGTCTCTACCGAGAACAGGCTCTCCTCTTCCTTGTTATCACTGGACGAGTCAGCCCGGCGCTTGGATTTGTTGGCGGACCGCTTGAACCGAGCGCGGGACTTGACGACCTTGTCGATCTCGGCCGCGTTGGGATGCTTGAAGACATGGCGAATGTCATACGTTTTGAGAGGACAAATCGGTTGCTGCTGCTGCGAAAGCGGTTCAGGAGAAGACGATTGGGTGGTTATCTGCGAGCCTTTGAGCACGGCATCAACAGCGGCTTGGCACTCGACCCAGTTCCCGGACCAGAGCATGCCGACCGACCCATAAATCGGGTTCACCACACGCCCACAGGCCTCGTATAAAAGTGACCTGAAAATAGCTGCAACACATATAACAAACAAACAACAAATAAGAAGAATTATACTTTATACGCTTAGCAAATGAATGAGATGGATCAAGTGGTTGAATAATTGGAATACCGGGGCGTAGGTTTTCGGGGCCGGATTCGATAAGATTGAGGAGGCCGGCACGGCCATAGAACTTGGCGAGGAAGAGAGTGGCGTTGGCTTGAGAATCAGGGGACTTGATCCATTCGAGGCAGGGTCTAATGATGCAGTCTTGGGTGCAGCCCTTCCGAAGTACCCTGCAGCCATTACAGCTCATTCTCATTGGACTTGGTGGGATTAATTTTTTTTTGTGTACGGAGATGAAGAGGAGGAGGAAGAAGAGAAGGCTTATATAAGTGGTGGGCGCAGTGGTTTTTCCAAACGAGTGGTGAAGTAAAATGACCTGAAAACCGGGGGTGAAATGTGTTTGCGTTTCTCATCCCTTTTTTTTAGTCTTTGGAAAATGGGATTCCCTCAAGCTGGTTTTTGGTGCCATTCTACTCTTTCAACCAACCCTCCATGCAATACATTATTACAAATTGCACCACTCATTCTATTTTCCCTACATACACTTACATTCTTCTTAATTAATTTTAAAAGTTTTAAAATACAACATGCATAAAGATTAGATTATATGAAAGTTAAAACTAGAAACCAATAATGTATATATACAATATTCATAAACTCTTACGTGATTAGAGGATAGACCAAAACATGTGATACGTGAACAAAACAAGGTAACGGACGCTCTAACAAACGATAAACGTGATGACCCAATTAACATAATCTTGTTCGATTTTCCTCCGACTTTAGTAAAGAGGTTACTTTATTTAGATTTACAAGATAGCTAATCCTTTTATGTATCACATTTACAATACACATGAAAATTATTTGTATGTACATATTTGATTACATTTGTATGAATATATAAATTATATTAAATCAAAAGAGAAAGATGAATAACAATGCAATTTCGAGAAAAAAGGACAAAATTGTAAAAGACCGTAAGCTGAAAACGACGGCAATTGAAAAGTGGAAGCCATGCAAGCACAGCTAGAGGGGGGGGGGAAAGAACCGTAACGGACGCACGTGCAAAGCACGGGGGGGGCTTATTTGTATCTTAGAACCGCGTGCGTCTCGGTGTCGCCGCATCTCATTGCGAGCTCGCCTCCAGGTTTTCGGGGTTCCGTACAAATACGTGAGGCCTAATTTTATTTATTTATTTGATTCTCTAAACAATTAAATAAAACACATTTACTTCCATTTCTAGAATGATAACCAAACACATATATAATTCATCAAAAACACGTGTTGGAAATCAAATATAAATAAAGGCGTCCTAATAGGATTTTATTTTTATTATTACATCCCATTTATTTTTCATTGATTCCTTAAAAGCCATAGAATTAACTTAAATTAGATTATTTATAAGACTGTGGGCGCCCAAAGAGTCTGCCTGAGGTTTTTAAGTACTAAAACTGCCTAATTTGTATCTTGATTTGGATGTAATCTCTCACAAATATATATACACTCTTTCATTTATCGTTACATAACTTTGTGCCGCATTAGTTAATAGGGTAAACTATACATTTAGTACATAAATTACTAGTTTTGATCCGTTTTAATACCTAAACTATCAAATTCTATTCGTTTTAGTACTTAAACTTTCAATTTTTTCAAAACTTAACGTTAAATTTTAAACATAGTTTCTAAAATGAAACAAAAACTTAATACTAGGTATGATTTTGCAAAAATTAAAAGTTTATGTACTAAAACGAACAAAAACTGATAATTTAGGTATCAAATGTATAATTTACCCTAATTAATATGCAGTGTCAAAAATTAAAATATAATTTAAGTTTTATTATTATTTTAATATAAGATTGATTTTATTAATAACATATTTAAAGAATCTTGATATTTTATAAATATTTTTAATCTTATAATTTTTATTTAATTTTTACTTATTGTTATGAATATTTTACTAATTAATATTTTTCAAGTTTTAATATTTTTTCAATTAAATAAAATAAATTCTTGAACTTTTAATCAACTACCATATCAATATTGTGGACTTCTATGTTAATATTATAAACAACTATGTCAGCAAATATAGTAGTAACTTAATTAATTATATAATTCGATTTAATATTTCGAGTTGTCAAGCATTATATATATATATATGTGTGTGTGTGTATATTTGAACAGTCTAGGTTGATTATGTAGTATCTGTCACAATCTTTATAACCGTTAACAACGCACGGTAGACGCATTGCTCGAACTCAGGATCTCTATAAAAGATTAACATTCTGTCCACTTGATGAGTTCATAAATCATTATATTAGATGGAGTGATGTTTAACTAGAATCATTATTCAAATTTGAATTCGCCAGTCAAAAACAAAATCACAGTTACAGAGAGTTGTTAACTTTCTCAAGGTTTAAGTTCTTTACGGTCTAAGTTTGTCCTGCCTTGTGTTCTTCACGTTCTTATGCATTCCCTTTGTCTTTCTTCCTTTCTTTCTCTGTCTGACAAGCTTTGTCATTGCTCCTGGCTTTCGTACTAAATGTTAACGGTCCAAACATATTTGAATTTTGCAGGTAGTTTCAGACATGGAAAGATTGGCATTATGGCAAAGCTATTATCAGATTGAATGCTAAAACCGTGCTCCACACATCCCACCCCTAACAATTAGGGACAATAACATATATGTATGTTGTACATCTCACCTTATCCAATCACACCGTTTATAAATTCAACATGGACTCCCCTTTATTCTCCTTAAAGACTCTAGTCAATTATCGATCTACCACTCTCCATCCAAATTAGAAGGGGTTAATTATCTATCGCCGTCACAATCCATTTTGATCTTATCAACGATAAACATAAAAGAATTATGAAATTATTTTATTTAATAGGATTTTTGAGGAATTTCGTATGAATTTTGCAAACGAAAACTTGGTTGAATAATTAAGGCCTTGTCGGAGCTCCATGAAGGTTCAAATCCACTTCGAGTCCTACGCTCTGAGCTCTGTGTCGTTAGCTTCCAAAAATGGTTATTAATTTCAACAAATTTTAATATCAACTTGTCCTATGAATGCAATCAGAATTTAGATACGATGCCCCCCAGTAGGCCACTGCCTTGTCGTCAAAGAACACCACAAGTTAGGGGGAAAATTTAGCCAACACGAATGAAGTAAAAATCTGAGAGAGTGACTTTGAGACGTGCACATTTCTTTGCTTGTTAAGAAATTCAATGTTTGGGGTATCCCTGATTATATAGGGCCAGCAGGAGCTGGTTTGGCCGTCGTAGGGCACAGGGAATATTATAAAGAGAGCCATTAGCCCCACGGCAAAACACCACGGTTCAAGCAAAAACATGTGATGCATTTGGGAGTATTATAATTCTTCTGTTGTCGATTATTGTTAGTCCCTTTCAAAATAAAGATTAAAATATTAGTTTTCGATTTATTGACCGTTTAATTTATATCATATAATTTTGAGATTTATTAAGAGGTGACTGTCCCAATCTAATTAATTCAATTTACAATATCAATAATATCTCATTCAACTAAATCAATTAATTGCTAATTTTCTCAATGATCCTTTAGATATAACTCGAAAGAAAATGCGTATATTTTCGGTTCTAAATCTTAATTTTATTTAGTATGTAAATATAACACCAATTAAGTGATAATTAAATCAAAACAATAACTAATTTAATATGGATCTAAATTTTAATTAATTGATAAGAACGGTATCGCTAATAATGAAATTATTATTGATAAAATAAATATAAGTATATTTTACATTAATAATTTATATTAAAAAGAAACATGAAACATATCTATTACTTACATGTAAAATATTGATATAGTTATAACTCTAGTTTGAAAACAAATTATTATCAATAAATTTAGTGTAAAGTATACCAATTTATCCCTTGATTATAAGATATTGTTTAGTTAAGTATATTGACTATTAAAAATTATAAAGTAGTTTCATAATTATAGGATGTTTAGTCATTTGACTATTAAAAGTTACAAAATGATCATCTGAATATTCATATGTTCTAACTCATCATTTTCCGTTTAAAAAATTGAAGGTCCTCAGTGCTGGACGTTAACCTATTGACTGAGATATGATAAATCATATTTTGATGATGTCTACTGATATCATTGTTGCTTTCAAGCACTGACTTAATGATATGTTTCAAGCATTGACTCAACGACATAATATAAATAGAGTCATCTATAAAAAAAACTCAAAGATTATGATATATTTTATCATATTCAATCAATCATATTAACGTTCAACTTAGACGATCACAAATTTTAACGACAAAAGATGAGTTTAGAACATATAAATAATCAAGTGATAATTTTTGTAACATTAAATAGTTGGGAATTAAACAAAGTAGTATCCTGTAGTCGATGAATTTTTATGACTTTTAATAGTCGAAAAATTTAATAAAGTAACACATTATAGTTAGAGATAATTTATATACTTTACTAAAAAATTTATTGGATAAATTTTAATAAATATCATTTTATATGTAACAGGCAAATATGTTGAGATAAGATGGTGGGAAAAAATCTTCTATGTAGGGTGTTGGAATAAATATTTTCTGATGTAGGGCAGTTGTTACGGTGGACGTCGGAAATAAGCCAGAGCATCTAGTGTCCTTCGAAAGACAATCGAAACACACGACTTCTTTAAGCTTTTCATCTCCAGAACACCAGGACTGGCCTCCCTCTTTGCTGTAATTATACTCGATTGGGATACAATGATTGACCTCCCGAAGATGTCGAAGATAAAACATCAGATGTTGTCGGAGATGAAAAGTATTTCGGCCGACTTCTGAAAGATATAGTGTACTCTGATCGACTTCCCCTTCATTATTCATCTCATCCTACTGTGCTAAACTGTGTACTGTTGACACTTGACAAGATTGGAAAGATCGAAAGAGTGAGCTTGATACCAAATCCAAACACTAGCAAACAAACCACTAAAGTCTAGAGCTAGGCAATGAGTAGCAGCTTTTTGCAACATGCTCGGCCACATAATACTTGGCCTGTTCGCTCCTCGGTTCCCATTCTTAGTAAACCACCCAAATTTACCAGACCCCATTTCTCCTTCGCATGTTAAAACAACATCAAATACAAAAGTTATCTCCCTCTTTTCATCTGTCTGCACTCCCTTGTTCATTGTATTCACCCACTTTTAACTGGAACATCGCCTATGTTTCCAAACTCCACTAATATACGAATCAAATACCCTTTTTCTCCCTTTTCGTTTACTGCT